TCCAGATTACGAGTCATCTGCTTTAGGGTACGTGTTTGAGAATTATACCACGGGGTCAGGTACTTCTGATTAGAGACCTTAGTAACACACTGAGAGATTTTCATCATTCTCATCACTGCTTAAACAACACACATCTCCTCTCTCTGGTTTTTGAACTCTCCTTTCTGAAAAACAGAAAGTGAGATGGTAGTTGTTTTGGGCTGAGAAACACCAAACACTCTTCATAATATTACTGCTTTTGTTTTCATCAACAACACAACTATTTTATTTCTTTTGTGTCCACTAGGGTAGATGGTGACTTGCAGTAGCACCCTGTGCCCCAGCTGGAGACAATTCTCACACACACAGTACCATCAGACACATTCATAGTCACTTTTTCATCTGCTTTGTGCAGAATTTCACTTCTTTCCTTTCTTCAATGATCTACATACTAGGTGTTGCCCGCTGAATACTTTTCAATGTATTCCATCCCCTTTCTGAGACAGACTTACTCAGTTTTTTCCCCTTTACAAGACAACAATCAGCGCCACAGACTACGTCAGTGCCACAGTTGGTCTGCACTCACTCACACACGTGCACATACTCATACAGAATAGGCCTATCGTCCGGTCCACTAGCCCGGTCTCAACAACATGTCACCCCAGGTGACGAGCCTCTTTCGTCCCAGACACTGGGTCTGCACAGCCCCAGACTGTGGCTTTATCCCACACAGTGACAAAGACTTACTGTTTGTCACCCCAGGTGACAAGCCAGGCTCAGCACAGTCCCGGACTGTGGTTTTAACCTCCTTTCTGCTGAGAAACCATCCTTAAAACCTCAACTGGCGGATAAACCAGACCTCCTTAAAAATCTGGCAAAGAAACCAGGTAGCTTGCATCTGCTCGCACAGCTAGCATGCTCCCGTACCTGCGTTTAGCCACACAGTCACGGTGACGCATAAGGCCCTCTCTCTTTACTTACTGTTGTATTGCTTTTTGTTCATGGAGAGGGTCTGTGGTTCCCGTCAATCGCTATGGCCACAAACAAACGCACCCCAGGTGCCATGGCTGACTTCGGCGTGTCTTCCCCCCTCCTCCGTGGAAAGCCATTTGTTGGGATCCGGCTTGAATGACCAAATAAATGTTGGGTCAGCAGGCCCGCTACTTCAGAGACTTATCATGAAGAAAGCTACCATGAAGAAAGCAAGACAACAACTTAACCGGTTTATACTTGCTTAGCAAGGGGAGCCAGACGGGAGCACTCCTACCCTCGAACTCAAATGACTATAAAGAACCAGCACCCCCTTGCAGCCTTTTATTCTGTGACACAAAGTTTACACAAACATTCACTGTAAAACCCCCCTATGATGCATCATAAAACTAAGGCACTGAGTGTGTGTGTGTGTGTGTGTGTGTGTGTGTGTGTGTGCACATGAGTAACCATACACAAACACAGGTCAGGCCATAAATGGCAAGAAGTAAACATCCTCACTAAATAAGGACAGAAACAGAAGAATGTCTTTGATGATACAGTTTGAAACAAGGCTTATAAATCTAAGTTCAATAATGGCAACATTTAACAATTTCAACCTAACACACTTTGTCTAATAAACTTACATCTTTCATTCTTTATACAGATTGGAGGGTTGTGGTTTGTCTGAGATCAGCTGTGATTATCTGGCAGCAGCACTGAAGTCCAACCCCTCGCATGTGAGAGAGCTGGACCTGAGTGACAACAACAAGCTGCAGGATTCAGGAGTGAAGCATCTGTGTGGTTTTCTGGAGAGTCCAGCATGTGGACTTGAAACTCTGAGGTCAGTCAGCATGTTTTAGTTGTGCTGAGATAAATATGATGTGAAAGTTGTGCTGACACTAAACTACAGACATAAGGCTGATATTATACTGATCCACACTGAGGATCTTCATGATAAAGTCTGATTTCTTCTTCTCTGGTTTAATCCATTTACTGTAGCAGAACAATGTTCACATTTCAACCAGTGATACTCAACTTATGGCCCGCGGCCCACACGCGGCCTGCCGACCTTTCCTAATTCAGAAAGAGGGGACCCTGATTAACTGTGTAGCGTTCTTCCTCACAGTTCTAAGTATCAGACACAACAATGAATAATCCACAGCTGACTCTCTTTAGCAGGTCAAAGGTCAAGTCTGTGAAACGGAAACAGTTTGGAGCAGGAATTATTGCACATTTACAAAATGACTGCTACACGGCATGCTGGGTAATGCTAGCTGGTCAGGTATGGGTGTGTTAACGGCTGTGAGAGGCTCCATGGCTGCTGAACACTGAAGAAGAGAAACAAGAGATGGAGGATGAAGAAAAGATGAAGAGATGAAGCAGGAATTTAGCTCAAGAGAGGAGCTGTGTCTATGTGGGGGGGTCTCAGGCAGCTCCGTCCACACAGTGACAGTGAAGCAGGTGAAGAGTAATAAATAAAGACAGCAGACTGGATTTCATAAGCTGATGTACAAACATGGAGAATGATGGTGGCAGCTACAGAAACAGGTCCATACAGACTGAAGCGTTCTCCATTCCTTTGCATATTCCATATTTGATACTGAGAGTTTCCAGAAGAGCAAACATCAAACATGCCTCCAAACATGTGACGATTTCAGACTGACATCATTTCTACAAAGAACAGTGTGAGCTCTCAGCAGGTCACTTCAGTAAGAAGGATAAACAATGCAGCAGGAATGACTAAACCCACTAACAGTCTGAACTCCTTGGATTTTGTTGAGAAGGTGAAAGATATCATTATGGAGGCAGATGAAACCATGATCTCATGGTTACATCTCTCTTCACTTGCATCCCAGTCACAGAAGCGTTGGAGGTAATTCGTAAAAGATTACAGGATGACCCCAACCTCAGCAACAGGACCACTCTCAGCATGGACCAAGTGTGTTTGCTTTTGGAACTGTGTCTTCATTCCACCTACTTCACATACAAGGGTCAGTTCTACAGTCAGAAACATGGGTGTGCCATGGGTTCCCCAGTTTCACTTAGCGTGGTCAATTTGTACATGGAAGAAGTGGAAAAGAGGGCTTTGCTATCCTACCCTGGAACACCACCAAGCCATTGGTTCAGGTATGTGGATGAAACCTGGGTCAAAATCAAATCTCAGGACGTACTACATTTCATGGATCACATTAACTCGATGGACCGTGTAAGGAAGAGGACTCCCTTACTACATTTATTCATATTATATTATCTGTATAGTACTTTAGAGCACACCTTTCACTTTATTAAAAGCACCTTATCAAGCACTTTATTCAGCATTGCACTTTAAGCATGGATTGGCACAGTAAAACATTTGCACACAAGAAGTTTAATTATTTATTGAATATTTATTGGAAATTTTAAAATGAGTTGGCAGTCTTGTTTCAGATCTTGCACAGCTGCTCCTCGTCAAGGAATGTGGTGGTTGTCTGTGAGGAAAAAAGAATGGTGATTGAGATTGTGATTAAGGCTGACCAGTAGAGGTGGCCCGCTTGAAGCTGATGCTCCGGTGCGTGTGTCAAAAAAAATCAACACACTGCTTCAGAAGCACTGTGTTGAAGCTTGATTTGTTTGGACAGAGTCACGTGATCAGTGACATCCGAAGCTTCATTCAGAACCTTTACAGAGCGAACACCATCCCCACAAACACAGCGGGAAGCAGAAGAACATCACATCAAGAAGGCCCTGAGTAAATGTGGTTATCCCAGCTGGACTTTTTTCAAAGCTGGAAAGGCACCAAAAGAAAGCTCCAGCCGATCCAGGAGAGAAGGACAACTGCTGCCCAAGCGAAAACCTGTAGTGATCCCGTACATGTCAGGAGTATCGGAGCAGTTGAGACGCATTTTTTTCTAAACACTGCGTCTCTGTGGCTTTTAAACCCCAAAACACGCTGCGCAAAAATTTGATCCACCTCAAGGATCGGGTCCCCTGACAGAAACAGAGTAACATAGTGTACGCTGTTGAGTGCCAGGAGGATTGGCAGGATTTATACATCGGGGAAACCAAACAACCTCTGGCTAAGAGGATGGCACAACACAGAAGAGCTACCTCGTCAGGCCAGGGCTCTGCAGTCTATTTACACCTACAGGCCAGTGGACACTCTTTCAATGATGAGAATGTACACATCCTGGACAGGGAGGAACGCTGGTTTGAGTGCGGAGTCAAGGAGGCCATTTACGTGAAAAGGGAAAGACCATCTCTGAACCGAGGAGGGGGCCTAAGGGTACATCTGTCACCATCTTACAATGCTGTGATTGCAGCCATTCCCCAACTCTCTGTGAATGGTACTCATGGCCATTGATCAGTGGTCTTTGATCAGTGGGCTTTGATCAGTGGTTGTTAATCAATGGTCATGAGAATTTGCATAATTATGATGAAGGTGACCTCCCAGCCCATTGTTCCTTCAGTGGTGCTAGTTTTAGTCATTATGCAAATGCACTGTTTATAAGATTGGGGAAACCTGCAGTCAGCTGAGACTGAAGAAGTCACTTGGATGAGTGACGAAACGTTTCTCCCACTGAAAACGCTACGTCCAGATGAACAGAATCCAACTTTTGGAGATCTACTTACCTGGGTGATTGAGTATGCATCAAGACGTTATTGTCAAAAGTTCCATAACACTAACCTGAAGCTAACCTGGGAAACGGTCAAAGTACTGATGATTCCTACAAATTGTGTGTGTTCAGATGGACTCCACAGGAGATCTCCTTTATGAAGAAACTCTGAAGGTTTGCCCAACTGTGGGAAACATTTCAGAGAATATCTCAGAGAATATCTGTGAAGCAGAACCTAAACATAATAATAGAAGAAAAGCAAAATAATGATCCAAATCCTGCTCTGTGCCATTGTTTAAACATCACTATCAGACAGTAAAGGCTTTCAAAGACTGCTCACCTCTCAGACTTAGTTAAAGATGCTGGTGCTGTTCACAGATGAGCTGACCTGCTGGGTCTCCATGATCAGCTTTGTTTCTTGGAGATAAAGGCTGAGCCCTTTAGAACTTCAGTTCTCCAGAGCAGCAGGATGTCTGCAGTCTGCAGAAACACAGCAACTAATAATGGTTGTTCACGAAAACAAGGTGGGAGCTGCTGATTCCTGAGCTTTGATACTGGACTAGCTCCTGTGAGGCAAAGAAATGAGCAGCGGACAACCGTCTACATGTTGTAGCTGTTTACAGTCACCAGGGGGCGCTGTCACAGCCATGCAGTCAGTGGGCTGCTCTGCTTGTGCTGTTGTTGGTGAAGCTGAAGTGAAAGTGAGTCTTAAAACAATAAAAAGTGTCCAGTGCAGCCTTCATCTGAGCTTCTCATGCTCTTCTTCCTTTATCCTCCATCTTTGTGCTGAACGCTGCTGTCGCTCTCTTCCCTGTTCCCGCCCACTTCCCAACCAATCAGCAGTGGCGCGCCCACAGCATGGTCCACACTGAGCTTTGTTGTTAGCGTGTGGACTTGTCTGCAGAATATTTCCAGTATAATAACCAGCTGAGCATGCACCCCAAGCAGCAGCTTCAAGCTCACCTCAAAGAAGTTTAACAGGAAGGACGACTCGTCCATCATGCATCCAGCTGTCCGTGACCATGTCCACAGCAGAGTGTTACAGAGGCTTAATGCTAACACGCACACATGAAGCTAATACCACCACTAGCCGCTGCTCAGTCAATTTGCAGGAGAAATGTCTCCAGCTTCTGAAAGGCAGTGTGCAGAATGTGGATCTCCACAAAGACTATAGAGAGCTCATCCCACGCTCTAAATCCACACTTGTCTGCACAAAACTTCTCTCACGTTTCTGTCACAAGTATCTTCTAAGTGAAGCTACCAGGTTCAGGTCCAGCTCTGTTTATCTGGAGCTGCAGTAGATGAGTGATCCATCCTCACGTGCACATTTTCCAAAGCAGCACAGACACCAGATATGCAAACACAGCATCATACAACAAAAGCAAGAGATCCAAAGAATTCTCTCTGCATTTCTGTGGCTGAAGCTGCTGGAATGAAGCTGTTTGAAACCTTGTTCTGCACTTTGGGACCAGAAGAGGAAACTGAACCTCTGTGCAGAGGGTTCAATGGAAGCAGCCAAGTGCTGTAAGTGTCTGCTGTACAGGCATGCTGGTTCAGCTGAAGGGATGGGTATCGTTTAGGTTTTATCTGATACCGGTGCCAAACCGGTAGTTTTGAAACTGTGCTGGTGTGTAAACGGTGCTCAAACTGGTGCTTAAAGAATGGAGAACACAAACTTTGTCCAAAAACCTCTCATGTTTTTATTTTTAGCAGTCTCTTTTTTTCTGCAAAATGATAACCAAGTTAGCCTTTTCTGTCGATACAACATACCTCCTTTGGTTGGAACCGGTGCTTAAACAATGGAAAACACAAACTTTGTCCTAAAACCTCTCGTGTTTAGCTATTTTGGTAAAAAGATAACAATGTTAGCCTTTTCTTCAGCTATAGGGCATATATGGTACCACTCTATCAGATAAGAAAACAGCCGCATGGAACTACGACGGTGTTTGCTAGTTCACCTTACGTGCATTAATTTCATGATGTGGTTAGCCTACTTAACGTAAATTACACACGAACAACATTAAACTACTCACCCAGAGAAGGATTTTGCTAACTCCGGCTCCGATAACAGGCACCACACCCGCAGTAGATGTGTGAGGTGTGAGGTCTTGCAGCAAGCTATCAAATACGGTGCATTTCTTGGCTTTTAAAAAAACGCTATGTGTCGCCAGGTGTTTCATCAGATTCGAGGTGTTACCTCCTTTGCACAGTATCAGCTTAAAGCACTTGTTGCAGGCTGCTGAGTTTGCATCTTTTGCTGTGAAGTACAGCCAGACTTTTGACC